GATGCACTTGCAATTGGCTATGGCATTGTCCGGGCAAAAAAAAAAAGACACACACGCGCAAGTGCGCCACAAACGCACGCTCAAACACTCGGACGCACACTTTTTATGCACAAAGACAAAGATCCCCCCCATATAGCATTAACAGACTGTTGGGGCAAGTGCTGTTAGCGAGTAGCACCTATTAAGGCCGGCGCGGCACACGAGGGGATGGGTGGCCAGCACCACGCCCGACCGCCTTTGTCTCCCCAGTGGCGATGTTTACACAACGCACCAGGTACTAATTTGAGGCTGAGTCAACCTAGGGGATGCCCGGGACAGGTTCAGATAATCGTCACTGGTGTTGGCCGTGAGCGTGAATCGAACCCGGGTCGCCAGGTTCAGAGCGCAGCGCGCTAACCGCTACACTACACACATACACACACACACATACACACATATACACACACATACACACACACATACACACATACACACACCAGGGTCAAGGTCATATCATTTCGAGCCAGCAGTGTTTCTAGATCGGGGGAAATGAAACCTCGAGAGAACAATAAACGGAAACGATCTCACAAATTGAGACAGAATAGCCTCCACCAGATGTTTGGGGGGAAAAAAACAATAGACTTCCTAGTCTTATTTATTCGAGTAGTTTTTTTAATATATAGGTGGCCACGAAGCAGATGGATTCATTTAATTTTGCCACCATGGTGGAGGTGGGGGGGGGGGGGATTTTAAATGCTCATAATCCCAAAACGGGTTTTAAAAATCCAGTTTTGTTAAAATACCTCGAGACAATTGTGACACGTAATAAACGTTAACATTTCCTTAACGCAATCCTAAAAAAACCCACCGATATCTTGCAGGTAAAACATCTCCGTCGCGTCGAGTGATCGAGAATTACAACCTCTGATTTTGAAACACTTATCTGGGATTTAAAACCTCCGAAATGACAACACTGACGTGAGACAGCTACCGGGACGCGTTATTGTGGACACAGTGACACGAGAGACGTAAAAACAGTACGGTTTTTTTTCTTTACATCACATCGAAAATGTTGAAAAAAAGGGGTCGCAACGAACATATATAGGCGTGAATAAATGCGCAAAGACCTTTGTAGGCTTAGAGGTGCAGGAATTGCTGCAAGGATAATTGGTGGAGAACAAGAGCATTGCGTTGGACCTACTGAGAGGCTGCAAGGGAAGGCATACGGGAGAAGCATCATACTTTGCGCGGGTAGGTGGGAAATTTACAAACAGGTCAGCGGTGTACAAAACAGATCAGCGACGTTACTTTGCAGGCGGTTACCCCACTCACGACCTCGGGATGATCCACCGTTCCGTGTCCCAAAGTCACGACCGAGACGTGAGACGCCTGCCTGTCGCGCTCCGAGCGCTGGCTGGGTCATCATCTGCGATATCAATTCCACCTCTGCAGAGAAATGTACACGCACTGAAACCATACGTTATATTTCACAACCACCGGTGGAGTCGGCTTCGACGTAACACTTGCTGACCAAAACCAGAATCACGGAATCATCTACTCGACAGGAATCTACTGACACTAAAGTAAAGCGGTGATTTTAAGCCGGTTTTATACAGTGTGTGTACAGCAGTAGGCTCGTTACGCGCACCGGCTACCCATACATAATGTGACACCGAGTGGGGGCTATTTGTGTACAGGTTGCGCCTCTCCACAATGTTGACATCGACGGATCCGTCACCCTAAAGGAGCGATGCCATCCGCCGGCTGGCCAACACGTGTGATCTCGGCTGCTCTTTGCGATAGCGCACAGCGCACTTTCTCCACCGGCATCAATTCTGGGCGGGCTTGCTTAACAAGTCCAGCGCGGCTCTCCGTCGTGCACGCGGCCGTGTTGTATCAACGCGCTGTCCCGACGTTCCGCTCCGCGTCCAGCACGAGGAGGCACAACCCTCTTGCACGGTGGAGTCTGCTTGTCGACACCTTCGGCGGAAGAGGCGCTCTTGCGAGCGCCTTAAAACACGCACGGCAAAAGAAACGCTTTAAATGTGTGCTTGGAAACGCGTCTAGAACAGCGGCTCTTATAACCTTTAACTACAGCCTTGCACCGCCTTTGGTTCTCATTGTGTAAAACGTGTGTCACGTTTATAGGTACATCGGGTTTTGATGAAACAAAGTAGTTGTACTCACGTGCCCGTGCTCAATTCGCGTTTCGATGATTTACCTTCGAAACAAATCTGGCCACGTCTGGCACCGTCAGAAAGGGCATCTCGCACCCCAGGTTAGAAACCACTGTTCTAGAGCGACACGAACAATTGTCTTCGTATTTGAACACAACCGTCATTATATTTTTTTGTCTTCTTAAATCTAAACCAACTTCTCCACTTTATGTACAACTGTCGATTGTGCACTCTCATAACCGTGAGCATTTTGTGACGCACCAACGCCAGCGCCTCGCCGCGGCACGGGAGACGTCGCACTCGCCAAGACGCGGTGCGGAACGTGAAAAGTCACCGGGGGAGGGGGGGGGAAGGCGAGTGTCCGGAGAAGACCCCGCACGTGCGCAACGAAAGGAGAACTCTGAAACTCAACGACAAACTCCACGCTTCTCGTACGTGCGTTGAACCTCGTTCGCGCCGAACGCGGACGACCGCGCTCATCTTAGGGACACGCTTTTTCTTGGGTCCAGTTAAGCGTTGAGTTTGAGAAAATCCCCAAAACGGAGTGGCTTCATTGCAAACTGCTCGTAACGAAAATGTGTAATTCCAAGACACGGTAATAAATTATAACAAATAAAAGTAAAAATACGTTCATATACGCAAGTGGCGGGTCCCATGGCTCCAGCTCATGCAGTCAGGTCACCTCGGGTTTTGAGGTGACCTTACTGCCGTGATGGGCTCATTGAGAGAGTAAATATTCTTGGTTCTTTCGGTAAAGTCACGGAGATAGAAAACTAAAAGCAAAATTAAAAGTAAAAACAACCCGCGACGTTCCGATCACAACACAAGCGGTCTTCATCACTTGTCGAACACCGCTTGAAGACCGCTTGTGTTTCTATCTACGCGACTTTACCGAAAGGACCAAGAATATCAATTCCTGCAGTCACGAAAGTGTTAAGTCTAAATTCATTGAGAGAGTATTGTGGGGAAAGTGGAAGCAAGGCTTAATGGCACCAGTGTGGGTGCAGCTGGGCCGTTGCCAGACCCCTTCGCTGAGAAGGCTGCGCGGATTTTCTTGGCTGAAAAAAAAAAACCTGGGGCCGGAGTTCACAACCCACCGGAGCCTGGAGACTGGAGACACGCCAAGCGATATCGGTGTGGGTAGATCGTTGTGCGCGCAAGCATTGCATTGTGACAAATTGTGCTACTTCCTCTTATGTCTTCCCCTCACCCGAATCCCACTTTCACAGAACCTCGGTTCATTCACAAGAAAAAAAAAATAACAAATATGTCGAGTCCGATTTGTATTTGATCCATACCCCAAATACTGTAAGAAGGTTTTTGGACCACAGTTTGTAAGTCAGATTCTAAAGTATACGTGGTTCGATCTCCAGCTCGTGCGGGATTCCGGAATAACAGCCAGGGTCGTGTGTCCGAAACTCATTCGTGCTGCGTGCACATGAGTCCAGTCCTGAGTAACATCTTGATAGACTCCTCAAAGGTGTGGGTTTATGAATACCCATTAATACGGGGTTTGGTCTCGTCACGAGTACTACAGGCGGTTTGAACTTCTACTTGACCGACTGTTGGTATTGTAAACACGGAAACAACATATTGAAGTGTCAGGCCTCATCGAACGAAATAAATCAATAGCTACGAGTGTTTTTTTTAAAATACAGTGCTGTATTTTACAAGCTTTAAAACAAATTAATAGCGTCCACTCATATCGCATTCTGGCTGTGACAAGCAGAGGATTCGACCTCAGCATTTGTAAGGAATGTTGGCCCCATTTGAAGGTCAGCAGCTGAGTGCAGGGTTACGGTTAAATCGGCATGAAACCGAGGATACGTCAACATTTTTTGCCATGAAAGATGGAACTAATCGTCTAAAAATGATTGGAGAGTCCGAACTGAACACGCGTTTATTTCCGTATGTTTTGCGCGTGTGTTATTAAACCGTGCGGTGTGTTGTTATTCTGAGCACACGTAGATATATACGGGGTGGGCAAAAGTGTGCGATTCACGATGTGCGAAGTTGTGCTTAATACATCGCTCGATGCCCCGGGGGGGGGGGGGGGGGCTGTAATTTCCAAACAAAACAAACAAACAAACCATGGTAGAGGTTTTTTTTTGTGTTTGATCGCGTAAATATATAAATTTGTCGTTAAAACCCACCACCACCCGACACAGCCAACTAGTAAGGGTTGTCACGTAAACAGAACGTGCCAATTCGTCACTAGTACAGCACACCAAAAAAAAACCCCTCTATCATGGACGATATTGGTCGCGAAAGCCTACTACATGTTAAACTAAACAACCAGAACCTTCGAAGAGCAAAATGAGTCAACGCAATGAATGTATCTCGTTGGATCCCATCCCCGACGCACGTTGCACACAAACATCATTCGACGACCGACCGGATGCCGAGGGGGACAACCGACGGATCGGCGAGCGTGGAAGTTCTCAACTTTGGTTCGCGACTCGCACAAGGGGGGGGGGGGGGGCTTCGGGCTCGATGGTGGGACTGGAGTATGGGGGGGGGCACGTGAATAGTAGCCACGGCGAGAGGTATCATGGATGTGGGTGCACCGGGGATCGTACAAATTTTCCGGGTTGCCGACCCGAAGAAATGTTGTGCTATGCTCAGTTTAAAAATAATCCGCCCGTGCCGTATGCATGTATGTTGAACTTATTTTGCACCGCACGTTGACAACCATGCTAATCGGAGGTGCGAGTGCGACTTACGCTGCAGGTGATTACTTAATCACGATTCCTGTTTGTGCGATACGGTGTTTTGATTTCTCACGGAGTTCAGTTGTTTGTTTTTTCATTTCTATTTGCTTCTTTGCTGTTCTTTCTTTTCCAGTAAATTGTTTTTGGGTGACTCGGGTCACTCTTGCAAATGAGACAATATGCTGGTCTCCGAGAGCTCTTACCCGGTTTAGCAAAAATAAACGTGAAACTCCAAAACCGAAGCCGGAGAGACTCGGCTGATATTAAGCCCTGCTGTGCCCACGTGGCATCACTGGGTACGGCTGTGCAAGAAGTCACATGGGGTTTTGCAGCAGAGAAGAACTAAAAAAAAGTCTACATTGAAAGGTATGCGGAGATTGAATAACAAACGTGTGCTTTATTGGTCGATGAATGTAAAAGTTAATGTGTATCCTTTATTTAACACGTGTTCATATTTCTCTTGTTTTGCAATCTCTAGCACGTCACTTGGAATGTCATCGGAAGAGCAGGCTGCACTCACTTCTCTGTCTCCTGCGTTATTTGCTGTGCTTTAAAACAGTTAAAAAATATGCGCTGTGATTGGTTACATCAGAATCGCAGTCATCAATGCACCGCACTATGAACCGGGCGGCTTAAGCTCAATTCCCGGGGCACGACTAACATCGGTGGAAAGTTATATTTGTTCTTTTTCCTGGAACCTCCACTTGACTGACTCACCCTTAAATGGGTCCCTGCTGCACTTCCTTTCATTTATGCGGACAAATACATCGATCGCGGAAACACGGACGATGTCTCAACGGTCGTGCGGACACTGGAAACACGCTGCGATGCTCACTTGCCGATAGAACACAAAAATCGAATCAAATCAAAAATAGAGAGAGAGAGAAAAAAAAAAACCTTAACCCACGAAACCTGATAAAACAAAAACAAAAACCCCCTCTCCAACCATAACCACCTTTAGCTGTCGGAGTTGAGAATATCCCCCAGAGCAAACGAACGGCCGTAACGGTTGCCGGGCGCGACCGTGTCCAAATCCGGCGAGAATCCTCCGTCCTCCTCGTTGATCCTGCCGGACGGTGGCATCGACGGCTTGCGCGCCGGCGGGGCCGGGCGAGCCGGGCGCGTGGGGCGACCGGGGCGGGGTGGCACGGGCCGGCCGATAGATCCGGCCACCAAAGCCGCCGCCGCCCCGGTGGGAACGGCCAGCGAGGCCGGAGCCGGCGGGGGCGGCGGCGGCAGCGCGGCCAGGGAAGCGGCGGTGTTGTTGTCCGCCTCTCCCTCCCTGCGCACGGCGACGGTGCCGCCTCCCTGCTGGTTCTGCGCCTGCCGGTACCCGCGGCTGTGCAGGAGGCTGGTGGAGTCGCGCTCCTCGAGGGGCGAGTTCTCTTCCAGGATCTTGCGGCGGCGGAAGGAGACGGAGGCGAGGCTGCTCGGGTCGGGCCGCCGCGCTCGGATCACCTGCACGAGGATCACCAGCGGCACGGGCAGCAGCGCCAGCACGATGAGGATGGAGAGCATCGCCAGTGCCCACGGCGGGTAAGGCAAGTACTCCTCCGTGGCCTGCGTGGGGCGAAAGCAGGGAGCCGTGGGGAGCCGTGGAGGGGGGGGGGGCAGTGGGAGGATGATGCCAAGAAGTGGGAAGAGAGGGGGCAGAGAATTTTGATGAGGGCTGGGTAAAAAACACATATGCACAAGTAAGGAGTGTTTATTGAGTCAAAATAATAATAATGCCATTTATTTACACAGAAAGCCACACCGAGTTTCGAGACTCTGATCCCAATAATGACGTTTTCAGCATCTGGGAGACAATTGCATTACCCACTGAACACCCGCACATACGCGGCAGTAACGCTCAAAGCTCTGCACAGATTACTTCATGAATCCATTCCTTGCATTGCCATCTCGAGGCCACCTCGCAGCCCAATCCGGCGGTCTAATGGAATCGTGCACTGTGCTCCGAACCCGGCGACCCGAGTTCAATTGCCAGCCACAGATAATGTACATTTGTCATCGCTTATGAGACAGAGGTGGCTGAGGATGGCGCGGGCCAGATCAACACCCGCGCCCGCTCTAACATATTTAACAGACGCTCGCCAACAGCTCTTGCCCCAACCGTCTCTCGAGAAGGCCGCACGGCGGGACCTCGGTGCGTGTCGCACCGTATCGCGGATCCATGCGTGATACCCAGGCGTCTGCATGCACATCTGGGTCACGCTGGCCACCAGCATGGCGATCATGGCGAGGGGCGAGAAGTAGCGCCACATGTAGTAGTATATGCGCGGAGGAGCGAACCCGATCATGTCCTTGATGTCGTCCATGAACCTGCGCGCCGCACAGCACAAAACAGATGTGTGGTCTGCTTCCCCAGTTTTGTCCCGATTGTCCTGCCGGTGCCACGTCATGAGACGAGAGACCCATTCAGAGCAGTCTGTGTGTGTGCGTGTTTGTTATTGTGTGTATGTGGGAGCGGTGGTGCAGTGGTTAGCACATTGCGCTCCGAACCCGGCGACCCGAGTTCGATTCGTGTGACGATTGTCTGAACTGGTCCTGTGCCTCCCATAGGTCGACTCAGCCTCAAATGAGTACCTGGTGCAGTGTGTAAACATCGCCACTGGGGAGACAAAGGCGATAGGGCGTGGCCCTGGCCACCCACCCCCTCGTGTGCCATTCCTGTCAACCCCTTATCAGTGTCCTTACCTTATTACAGACCAATTCAGACCTTATTGGTCACCTCGTGCCCTTATAAATCTCAAGGGTCATTCTATAAAATCCCATCACAAGGGAGAAACACAAACAAATAGACAAAAATTATTAAACAAAAAAACTTTTACGTATTCATTTTGATAATTGGTGTTAATGATATTTATCATGTTACTGTCTGTGATCTTGCATGCTCATGCTGCTGTTTGCTTGATATGTGGATGCACACACCCACGGTGTAGATGCACACCAATAAACACAGAAAAAGCTGTCCCACGACTTTTTTTATTTGCCCGTATGATATTTTTTGCCCTATTGGAACGGCTGTACGCCGTATGGACCTGAACGCTCAACTTCCCTGTACACGAATACGGGGTAAACCGTATGGGTTGACAGCTGTGCGTGCCGTGCCGGCCTTCGTAGATTCTCGCGATACAGCACTTGCCCCAACAGTCTGTTAAGGCTATACGGGGGATCTTTGTCGCCGCGTGTGCACGCGCGTGTGTGTGCGCACTTGTCAGTGCCGTATAGCCAGGCCACGGATGTGTTCTCCAGGATGACGACCACAGTGAGGGGCAGCGTGGCCGAGTAGTCGTCAAACATCGTGACGAAGTAGTTCCCTGAGCGCTGAACGAACACCAGGCCCACGAGGAAGGACGCTGCACACGTCAGTACTGCACGGTGGGGGTTCGGGGGTGGGGTGGGTGTGGGGGGCGGGAGGGGGGGGCAGAAGGGTTGAGGGACAGGGGAGCGGTTGGGGTGGTGGGGGTGAGAAAGGAAGACGAGTGGTATCAAATGAAACTAGCCAAAGAAAAAAACCTACACGTGTTTAATTTTTAAACTACTGAAATAAATTACTAAACAATTTTGGTTTTATTACCAGGTAAAGTCCGATCAGCTATATGACTCTTTTTCAGAAGCGACCTGTGCCACAAACGATAGCCCAACGAAGTGGCTTATCATCGTGCGGAAATTTATAGCAGCCAAATCCTCTAAACACGTGATGTGGATTCTAAATGTGGGAGGGAAAAACCGGAGGACCTGGTGAAAAATCCACGCGATCACGGGGAGAGAGACATGCAAACTCCGAATATACAGGGATCAGGATTAGGTTCGAATCCTGTATACAGGCGAGGTAGTTAACATCTCACCACCATGGCGAGGGATTCTGCTGCCGGATTTGTGTTGGCACGCGACATACATCTCACCCAATTTTGTCTCCTTGATTAAATACAATAATATTAATCAGATTATAGGAATACTGTCTACAATAATATAGGATTGTAATGTCGGATCATTATGGGTAGGCCCACCTTGCACTCTGGTGGCAGTGCCGTATGCTGATAATCCCAACCCGAACGCCGACCTTAGCAGCGTTCCGGAAATTTCCGAGCTAGAAATTAGGCCCCGGATAAAAGTGTGGAGCAATACGACTACACTGACGACGCATAGTGCATCATTGCATTCCTTAATAATTACAAAGAGCCTCTCCCATGAATTACAATCCAATCTTTCTTGAGAATTTGATCTCCGCATTTTTAGGTCCTCTTAACAAACAAAAAATGCTCTGCCTTGTTCGACTACCAATACTCCCAATTCTAGGATTAGGGCTCGTGTTACAGTTAGTGTAAGGGCCATGTTTATGATTGGGGCTACCGTTAAGTGTTTAGATTAAGGTTACACGTAAAGGTGAATTATATCGGTGGGCAAGGATTGCGGTCAGGGTGGGCCATTAGAGGCAAGATGACGATCAGTTATTAACCAATACAAAGGTAGCAACGTCTCATCACATGCCGGTAGCACTGCCACCTGGCCCGGGTACGACCCGGGGCAGGTCCGGGAATTGGCATCTGCGTTCGGGCGTCACGAATTGATTAGCACCGAGATCTGGTTTGCGGGCATTGTGTTGAACTTTATCACAGAACGCAGTACGGTTTTTGTTTTTTGGTACGGACTTGTGGGCTGACTGAGAATCACACGCGTGTGTGGGTCTGCGAGGTAAAGGGGGCGGCAACCACCACCTCACTCCCCGCCTGTGCACATACGTGTGACGATCTCCTTGCGGATCTTGAAGGTGTCGACAATTGGCGTGACGAGACCCTCCATGGTGCCGAACATGGAGCCGAGGCCCAGGCTGAGCAGCATCATGAAGAACATGAGCGACCAGAATGGAGACATGGGGAAGTGGGTTATGGCCTCCGTGAAGGCGATGAACGCCAAGCCCGTCCCCTGCACCGCCTGGCACACCGCGCGAACAAGAGACGCAACGATGCACGTTTACCACAGAGCGCCACGCCAAACGAAGGCATGTCATGCCCCCCATCGCACGATGACGCTGTTATCATTCCAGTAGAACCCCTCTTAACGACGGTGATTGGTTCCACGAAACCGGTCGTTAAGTGATTTGGTCGTTAAACGAGTAGATCTTTCCACGTCAAAGCACAGGAGACACTGAGTGTAAACAATGCCCTAGCGCTCATGAATAGACATCGTTGATTGGATGAGGCCTGGTCAGACCACTTTGGAGCTCGCCGATTGGCCGAAATTGGCGGTCGCGTGCTCGTCGTCGTAAGCCCGTCGTTAACAGGGGAGTGGTCGGGAAGCGAACACACGTGGCCAACCGCGTGCATCCTAGCGCGAGGTGTGCATGTGGATGAGTGCGTGCGTGCGCGTGCCTTGTTGAGCTCGTCCTCCAGCAGGCAGGGCTGGAGACCCAGGGCAGGGAAGTCGTCCTTGTGTACGATTTGCACCACGTCGTACATGCTCTTGTAGTCGTCCACCGAAGGCTTGCTGAGGTTCACGTAGCTTGGGATGAGCGTGATGCTCACGGAGCCCGAAGCCACGAGCGACATCATGTGGGCCCAGTTTCTGCGGAGAGGTGACGGGGAACGGTCACGCAGTCGCGTGAATTCTTAATTCTGGGTAATTGTCACGATGATAAAGAAAGAAATCACAAATTCGAATACTGCTCTCATTGCTGGAGTGGAGAATTCAGCCTCTACCCCCTTTGGTCACGTGATCCTTCTACGGAAAACACGGATGAACTAAGGTCGCGCGATGTGAACCCAGGTGGTGCTTGACAGAATTCAACCTCAAGCAGTCAAGACGATTGATGATCCATCACTCACTGATTCAGTCAGTTAGTCGCCTCCTTTTTTCTCTTCTATCACTACTACCACCATGGTTACTGCTCCCATGAACGTCACTCATTGATTTATCTACCCATTTTGAGGACCCAGATTTAACAGACTGACTTTGACAGACACCGTCCGTAGCCAAAAGCGCCTGTTGAGCCTCGTCCATAACGTGATCATCGATCACACTGCAGATCACAACACTTCCCTTGCTGATTTATTTCCACGTACGGATCCACTTTGAAAATTCCTTCCCAGATTTTTATAACATAGCTCAATTCAAGAGACGTACAGTTTTCATTGACTCTCGTCTAGTACACATTCAAAAGTGATTCTGTTTGTTGCTTGCTACATGCCATTTTTCAGCCTTTGGGCCTGTGCTCAGAAAACCGTGATCATAAACTCGATAAGAAACTCAGATAAACTCTTTTTTTATTTTACCCGGTAAGGCCCAATGACCTATATAGCTTTCTTTCAGAAGCGACCTGGCCACAAATGATAGCTGAACGAAGTAGCTTATCATGTGGATATTTAAAGCGGGCAAATACTCTAAATGCACGTTGATTGTAAATGTGGAGGGAAAAACCGGAGGACCCCGAGAAAAATCCACGCGACCACGGGGAGAGAGACACGCAAACTCCAAATATACAGCAGGCGTGAGGGTCAGGATCGGACCCATAACCTCCTGTATACCAAGCGACGTAGTTAACATCTCGCCACCTTGGCGCCCTTAGGAAAAAACGTTTTGCTGGCTGTCTGGCGGCATGGCTGGCGCATGGTGGTGACATCACCGCGCAGGAGTGACGACGCCATCCGCATCCCACCGCGTTGATCCGGGCTTATGCACCGTGGCGTCACGCCTCCCCGCGAAAACACACCCGGCCCTCCGGCCGTTTTATCCCGTAGGAAATGCACGGGCAGCAACCAGTTACGCATACGAAAATAAAAACAACCCACGAAAAAAAAAACGAAATCACGACGCGTCAAAAGGGGCGCAAAACTGACGTAAAGGACGGTCAAACAAAAGAGAAGGGAGGGCGCGCGCCGCACTCGGTGACGCAGCTCTCGTTCATGACGTTCGCCTTGAAGCCGAGGATGGCGAACACCACGAGGGTGGCGAGCAGCGACGTCAGGAAGTTGATGACGGACACGAGCACGGCGTCGAAGTGGCAGTTGTTGTCGCGCTTGTTGTACGACGAGAAGGCGATGACGCCGCCGAAGCCCAGGCCCAGCGCGAAGAACACCTGCGTGGCCGCCTCGCGCCACACCTGCGGCTCGGCCATCATCTCCAGCTGCCGGGAATTAGAGTCAAGGGTCAAGAGGTAGGGGTTGGGGCATATTCAATTATGTGTATTCAGGTTTTCAGATTTGATTTTCCAGCTCAAGCGAGCATTTGGGGCGCCGAAGTGGCGAGATGTTGGCTACCTCGCCTGGTATGCAGGAGGTTGTGAGTTCGATCCCGATTCTGACGCATGTTTGTTTGGAGTTTGCGTGTCTCTCTCCCCGTGGTCGCGTGGATTTTTCTCCGGGTCCTCCGGTTTTTCCCTCCACATTTAGAATCAACACGATGTTTAGAGTATTTGGCTCCGAATACATTTTCCACACAATGATAAGCCACTTCGTTGAGCTCTCCTTTGTGAGAGCCAGGTCGCTTCTGAAAAAGAGCTACATAGCTCAGTGGGCATTACCTGCTAAAATAAAAAAAATTGTCTAAATTAAAAAAATATATTCAGACGTTGCTCACCTCGTGTTTTACAGCCCTGTACAGTGGTGGCCTTTGACGGCTGCGTGTCTCTGCCGAGGAGAACCACTGCTGACTTCCTCACGAAGTGCTACTTATTCTGTCGCCTCGCATATGGGGTTGACTTCCGAGTTAACCCCACACAAGTGATCAGAATATAGACATTTGTATACATCATACGAGCATGACTGCCGAACAGTAATAATTTTACCATGCAGAAAGCTTGGTAAAAAAAAGCAGAATGCTTGGTAAAAACTACCTAAACTCCCCAACATGTAACGTCACATGTATTATTATTATTACCCGGGTTTACCCAGGCAAGCCCTACTGAGTCTCACGACTTTTTCCTGCCGCTGTGTGCAATCCCAAGTAAGTAATTAACACGGAATTCATATTCTTTAGGTCTTTCGGTAAAGTAGATCTACGTGGCTTTACCGAAAGACCCAAAGAATATGAATTCCGTGTTAATTACTTCCTTGGGATTGCACACAGCAGCAGGAAAAAGCCACGTAGATCTACGTGGCTTTACCGAAAGACCCAAAGAATATGAATTCCTGCAGTCACGAAAGCTTTACGTCAAGATCTACACCTAATTATTTTGCACTGAGATGTTTGGTCAATACAAGTAACATTTGTATCGTTTTGTTTTAGCTGTGGGAGGAAAGCGGAGAACCCAGAGGGAACCCATGCAGAGCAGGGGGAGAGAACACACACAAACGTCGAGCGAACAGGCACCCGGCCCGGGAATCGAACCCAGGGGCTGCTTGCTGTGAGGTCACGAGTGTTACGACTGTGCCACCCTGAAACAGACGTAGGTGAATGTATTTACATATTCTTACCGAAAGAGCTAAGAAAATGAATCACTGCAGTCACGAAAGCTTTAAATAAAAATTGAATGCATTTACATTAACAGGTATAGGTGGATAATAGCTTAACCAGACTTCACAATGCCCCCCACCCCGCTAGTCAAGCCTTTGCAGTGTCCTGCCTGCCCCGAGCTCTCCTTCAATATTCGTGCTCTGCGCCATGTGCACTGTGCATATCCATTGGGGCACCAGTCCCGTAATTGCTTGCGTACAGGCTGTGTGCAGAACACAATGGTGACTGCAATTCAGGTTTATATAGTGTCTAAAGACAGCTGAAAAACAGAGTGGCATGTGCATCATGTATACTTCAATATATATCGTGCATATGTTTTCTAGATAAGAGATGGTGGCTTATTATACACTTGCTATAAAACAAAGACAAAAGATCCCCCCTTACAGCCTTCACGGACTGTTGGGGCAAGTGCTGTTAGCAAGCACCTGCTCTCCACACACACAAACAGGGTACTGGGCATCTCTCTCTCTCTCTCTGTGGAATCTCAATGTACCCTCGTCGTTGCTTATTTATACAATGGTTTCCAAAACGTCCGTGTATATATATTTTTTATGACGGTCTTGATTTGCGAGAGCTGGGATGACTGCTTCAGTTTCCATTTAATCGAATGCCATTTCATCATCAGTAAAAGCCTGTCCCTCGCTGTAATGCCGATCTGATTGACGGTACTTGATACTCATTTGTCATTGCCTGGGCTCTGATTGATAGTGTCCATGCGGAGTCAATGTGGGAAAATTTATATTTCCTGAATCCATCTCGCTCGCTTGGTTGGCCTCGAATACAGCTGCTTAAGATTCCACGCGACCAATTTATATACGCGTGTGATCACGGCTAAAGGGTCTGTAATCCTTCTTCAAAGCAGTTCCATGTTCATTTGCACACTGGGGGATGATTGGGGCATCGTTCCACAAGCATTTCTGTGGAAACATTAGTGTAAAATCAAGGGTCAGCTAAATTTCTACCAACAGCCAGTCACGCTTTCTATGGTGATTGTGCACTCTTATTTCACCTGAGCCGAGAGCTTTTAACTTTTTTTTTTATCTTCACACGTAGGAGGGAAAACTGCAAAATGTTTGCGTCCGCGGGAATATAATTTTACAATCACAATAATGATATACAGCCCTTTGCCAAAAGTGGGCACTGCCGGATATTGCATCTTTTCTAGATTTGAAGCTTTCGTGACTGCAAGGATCCATACTCTTTGGTTCTATTCGGTGAAGTCACGTAGGTAAAAAACTAAAAATAAAATTAAAATATAAAAAAATCATTTTTTTATCTACGTGACTTTACCGAATAGAACCAAAGAGTATATTGCATCTTGTTGAACTATCAACAGCATTTGGAGGAATAAACGGTGATATTATAGCGAGACCCAGCGAAGTGACAAATCGAGCAAAACTCCATCAACTGACAGGCGACGCGGAAAAACGACGACAAGCAGTGGATGAATGGGTGGAGATTCTTATTCTTCACAGGAAATCATAATGGTTTTTTTTGAAGAATTAAAACATACTTGAAAGAGTTCCTCAACCAACACTGAAGCTCTCGCATCACTGCAAGTTAAAGGCAATTACAAAATGCACGCTCATCACAAGCTGTGAAGATGAAGGAGTGCGCTCCGTTTTCACGGAGCGCACTTGCCCATCGGAGTCAGAATCCAAATCTTTTATATGACCATCACAGTCGGAGACTTCAGCGCCAGGGCAGGTGAGAGACGGATAGACGATTCGTTCATTTGTGACGGGAGGACGGATCGAGTGGGACCAGACGCTATGATTTGCAGCTCTTCCGGGCGATGGAATGGCTCCTGGGAAGGGAGGGGGTCAACGGCCCTGAGCTGCATCCCGAAACGCATGTGGCGTTAGCTGCTACCTTTGGAAATTCACCAACACGAGCAAGGCTGGCAACAAGTTGTTAACTACTCCCGGGAGCTGCCTTCGTTTGATATAGACCGTGCACGTATGCACGGGGCCGATGTTTTTTGTCTCACTCGATACTTCCATAAATGTGTGATGTCACGTGCTCGCACGTCACAGGCATTTGTGCGTCCTTATTAAGAGGCAGTTTCTCTCCAGGAGCGAAGGAAATTAAGCGTAAGTGCTGCCCGTGAGGATGTCCTGCTATCCCTAGGCACCCTCGTCACTGGTCACGTGTGTGAACAGTGACGAGGGCAACGGAGGATGAGTTGGACAATGGCGCGTGTCACAATCACTCCCAGAAGACGGAGATCCGGACTGTTCTGGACTGAACCGGAGCACTCCGTGTCATGTCTGATTGGCCTCTGGTGTAGGCCAATAAGTTTCAAAGACAATGCCATGTATTATCAGCGCATGTTTGTTTACATGTTCGCCGCAAGTACGCGTGGTTAATGCAGATATGATTCCTATCAAAAAAGGTTTCTATTTGGTGTTTGAATATCTTAACACCTGTTTTATTGCCAGAAAGGGTAAACGCATATTCTGATATTCTTGGTTCTTTCGGTAAAGTCACGTAGAAGGGAAACAATATAATAATATGTTTCATGTTTTTATTATTTTATTGTTTCCCTTCTACGTGACTTTACCGAAAGAACCAAGAATATGAATCCCTGCAGTCACGAAAGCTTGAAACCAAAAGCATATTCTGATCTGTCACACTTTGATCCTGGCAAAAAAAGGGTCCCACGATAATGTCGTCATCACCTTGGGCATGAACATGTGGCGGATGCCGTCCATTGCCCCATCGAGTAAAAGTCCGCGCACCAGGAAGCAGAAGAGGACCACGTACGGGAAGAGGGAGCTGAAGTACATGACCTGGCCGCGGCACACAGGCGGGAACTTGCATGAGTCGCAGAGCAACGTGGTCGACGCGAGACGTTAGTGACGGCAAACGCTTTCCCTGTGCACGATGAACTCCTTTTGCACCGTACGTGGCCGACCGTGCTAATCGGAGATGCGGAGGGGGGGGGGGGGTGCGAGGAAGGACAACAAAACTAAACACAAAAAGAGCAGTTCGAATTAACAGCATTGTCACGTGTTGGTACGGTGCAATAAGTATCGAAGCAAGAGGCAGCGTTGCCAAGTTAAGCGGTTTTTGTTACGAGTTCTGGCGACTTGTTGGGTTTCCATCACGGCAATATCTTGCCAAAGCAACGAGCGACAAATCTAACGACTTTCTGGGACAAGGGCGTTATACAGATTCAGGAAAAAATCAAGTAATCGGTTTCCTTGCCGACACTTGCGGTTGTACGGTAAACGGATTACTTTAAGAAACGGTAAATACAGACGACGTATTCCGTATCTATGACCCACATTCGACAGCTTTTGCTTCCGCGGCCACATTTCCACCAATACACTGGCCAGGTAAGAATAACAACATCTTTGTGAACGTGACAATCTTGTCACGTGGTGGAGGGATAAAGCCATCAATTTTGCTACAGACCATGAGCATGTGGTCGGGTCCAAAAACAAATATGGATCGTTGCATTGGCTCCGAATTTTCTTTTTTCGTTTAGCGCGTACACTTTAGCGACCAATATTATCCATAATTGAGGTTTATTGGATTAGATCACGTAAATATAAATGTGTAGTTAAACCCGCCACCACCCGACACAGCCAATTAGTAAGGGTTGTCACCTACACAATTCGTTACTAGTACAACACACCGGTTGTGTGTTGGAGTAGCAAACCCACCACAACATTTACAATTCGAATACCGTGACGTTTCGCCAGTAATTACAACAACCAGCTTCATCAGGCGACAGCCAACAACTTCAATTGTGTCTTTGTTTTTGTTACAAGAGCCCCAGTAAAAGGCACGAACCGTAACAACGGAGCGGGGGGGGGGGGGGGGGGTACAGAAATGTTGCGGACCGAAGCCCGAACTCAGTGCTCCTGGGTTCTGGGAAGGGGAGAAGGTTGGGCTCACACTGCCCCACTCACGAAGGGGACTGCGAGCAGCAGGATCGTAGGTTTGTTTGTTTCCTATATGGGGGAAGAGAAAGCCAGGGAAGAGGAACAAAAGTACAGGGATCAAGGTGGCGGGGGGGGGGGGACCTACGCTTTACCGTCGGCGTTTCTTCCTACCTTCCCCGAAGACTGTATTCCGCGTATCATGGCCAGCGCCACGATAAGCCACGCAGCAAAGAGGCAGAGCGACATGCGCCAGTTGAGGCCCCCGCCGTGCGAGATGCTGTCGGAGATGTCGAGCGCCTGGCGGTACCAGAAGTAGGTGGTGGCCGAGCTCCGCTTGCACTCGGGCTCAATTTCTGCGTGGTGGACAACGCGAATTGCGGCGTGCGTGCGTGGTGGACAATGCGAATGTGCGGCGTGTGTGGTGGACAATGCGAATGTGTGCGTGTGTGGTGGGCAATGCGAATGTGTGCGTGTGTGGTGGACAAGGCGAATGTGGTGTGCATGTGTGGTGGACAATGCGAATGTGGTGTGCATGTATGGTGGAACATGTGAATGTGTGCGTGTGTGGTGGACAACGCGAATTGCAGCGCGCCTGTGTGAAAGTACAGAGAGCGGTGGCGCAGCGGTTAGCGCGCTGCACTACAAACCTGGCGCCCCGAGTTTGAGTAGTGCTGACCACACACCCCCTCGTGTTTCGTGCCGGCCTTAATAGGTGCTCGCTAACAGAACGTGCCCCAACAGTCTGTTAAGGCTTTCCGTGGCATCTAACGGTTAGCGCGCTGCGCTACGAACCCAGTGACCTCAGTTGGATTCCCGGGGCCTCTCCTGTAACGACTCAGCCTTAAAACGAATGCCCAATGCCAATGTGTAAACACGAGAGTAATGGTGAGACAAATGCAGCTTGGTGCTGTCTGCACCAAGCTGGCCTCCGAACGCAAACAAGCTGGCCTCCGAACGCAAACAAACAAAAAACTCATCTTCTTTGGTTCTTTCGGTAAAGTCACCACGTAGAATGAGAATAAAATAATAAATTGATAAAATAAAATAACACAATAATATTCTCACGACGTTTCGGCCACAACACAAGCGGCCTTCATCAGGTGAAGGGACGAGACTGTCTGGAGGACAGCGCTGGAGTGAAAAAGCCACGCTCCAGCGCTGTCCTCCAGACAGTCTCGTCCCTTCACCTGATGAAGGCCGCTTGTGTTGTGGTCGAAACGTCGTGAGAATATTATTGTGTTATTTTATTTAATCAATTTATTATTTTATTCTCATTCTACGTGGTGACTTTACCGAAAGAACCAAAGAAGATGAATCCTTACAGTCACGAAAGCTTTAAATCGAAACAAAAAACTGTTCCGGTCCTGTGACGCTCATCGAGCACATCGTGACCCCCCTCCCCCCCGAGACACGACAGGCGATGCGAAACGTCTTGTCAAATCAACCGCGAGCCGTGTCCCTTCGACGCGACGGGCACCCCCGATGTGATGGCGGCCGCGTGGGGGCACGTGGCCTCGTGGGCGTGAGGGCCGGAGGGGGAGAGGGCACAGCGCAGCACCGGTGGTGTTGCCGTGGTGGAGCACGGGGCAGTTGGCCCAGGGCAGCGGGTACTGAAACGAGTGGAAGAAGTAGTAGAGGGCCCAGCTGATGATCACGTTGTAGTAGAGGGCCACGAAGTAGCACACCTGGCACGGGAGGGGTGGGGGGGGGGGGTCCACGCGCAGACAACGCAGGGATATGTAAACGCGTGTCATTAACACACGTGGCAACGGTGGCTTTCGCGGCCAGACAACAACGAGCGCGCGCTCGTTGTTCTGCGTAACGGTGAAGGTCACAGGCGAGCACCTTGCGTGTCTACACGCCCGCTGGTCGTGCAGACGCCTCCTGGGGTAACCCAGAAATGCGTGGTGGTGGTGGTGGTGGTGGCAGCCTCGTTGTCGTCGTCAAACTCGGATTTGTGAATGCCGCGGGTTTACTCTCCGGCGCACGACCGGCGTGCTGAAGTCGTACAAACCAATGAGCACGTTTTGTCTACGTGGTGGAACCTCACTGATTGGCCGCGGCGGGGTGGTAGTGGGGTCAACGACACATTTATATTTTACGCGTCATTATGAACACGTAGGAGTCCGCGCGGTACGCTGTGTGCGCTGGCTCCTGTACGCACAACAACAGCGAGGGACACAACCCCCATTCATCGCCAGCATGCGGGGCGGGGGGGGGATGCGAATGAATGGATTGATAGATGGATGAAATTCCCAATTCCCACTTATAAACTTTCAACCGCCGCCAGAAAACATTAAAAAAATCAAACGCCTTTCACGTGATTTACGAGAAACGGGAAATTTGGGTTCTTCTGGGAAACCAATACAAACAAATCATAAAATAGTCGTGCCTTCCTGCTGTTTTGTGTTGTAATTTCTTGCCACCAGATGCCAGCGGACACTGTGGATTTGAACAAAGCTCGAGGCCGGGAGTCCAATCCCACTGTGGCACAACGGCGGGCACTCCAAAGGTGATTCTAGCGACAAGCACGTGGGCTTGAATTGGCTGCTCAGCGCCGAGATAGTCCAGGGGAAGTAATTGGTTGGTGCTGGCACGCACCCACAAAACAAGTGGCGTATGATGCACCGCTAACGGAACGTGTTGTAAATCATAAACTCGGGCTGCGCAGAAATCCAGTGGCCTCCTTGTATTACTTGCGAGCCGAGCTGGCCCATGCTATCCAAGCGTTCGTGCTCAAGAGGCAAGGTAATTGGAGCTGCAGGTAATAGGGTCACGCATAAAGTGGAGCTCACCTGCACACAGCTACATTGTGCATATGCTACGAATGTGCACGCAACGGTATTTAAGCCAGTGTTTTTTACACACCAAGTTCAGCTTTGCTTTAACTGTGCTGTTGACCAAACTGCGCGTTGTTATCTACGGACGAAATGCACCTTACAAATGTAACATGTTATTCCTGCACCATGCTTGGTAAAGGGGCTGTCACACACTGGGTGACGCAAGCATAAGAGGATGCAACAGCGAGCAGTATCACTACCCAAAACACAAATGAATGGAGTACAAACAGATACTTGAAATCGCATAATGATGCTCATCTGAAATGTACGGATGTTAAACTTTGTTTCGCACCGTACGGAGCCAACCGTGCTGATCCGAGGTGCGAAGTGTAAATGTAATTGCATTTACTCATTTATAAGATATATTAATATAATAAACTATCGTGCTGTGCCCTTCAAAGTCATTCGGGTGGTTAAGAGGTGTGGTGGAGTGGGATGCAGCGGAGGGAGATGGCTGTAGTCAACACTTCAAAATAACCCAATCTGCGGATCGGATTTTAGCTGGAAGCGTTTCCGCCGAGTCGGAGACATGGACCCATTGAGGGGGGTGAAGGTAAACTGTAAGAAGATATTGGTAACATGACAACTTAAATTGCCAACAATAAGGTTCACACTCAAATGCATAATCATTCCTGTCATGATCATTGTTGTCATTTGCTTTTGCCGGACTATTGCGAGGTCATTCCGTGGTGCTAAACGCGACTACAAACTCATTGACTAGTAGTTAGGAAAAACAGTATCGACATAATTGTCGTTGGCATCAGCAGAAATCGAGAATGCGCAGGTACCGGGGGGACATTGAGTCTCTTTTGTCCTGACGAGTTACAAAATTGGTACACACACAAAAAAATACAGTTGTGTGGATGTGAACGTTTATTTCGCACATAACGCAGTGTGCACAGACGACGTGGCAGGTCAATTAAATGCGCTGCGCGAAACAGCAGCCGGTCAGCAAATTTGCACCCAGCGGTGCGTCGCTGTTACCTTGCATTTTTACTTTTAAAAGCGCGCTCTCGCGCAACTGTTCAAACTTTGACAGATGGCCACGAGAATGTTTGCCGCCGGGACTCAACCGGAGGCCAAACGTCTTGTCAAGGAGCACAAAACCATCGGGCCACGCGAACTCCGCGTCATCCTCGCAGAAGCGACGGCGGCTTTCTGGCTAGCCAGCGGACAAAGATGGGCCACCGGCGCTCGGCCGCTTTCAGATGGGCTCTCCTTGTCTGGACGGCATTTCTACAGCGCCTTAACCAAGAATTCACGACGGCACAAACAGTCGACGTGACGGCGCACATGAAGTGAATGGAATGGATGAGAGGAAGCAATGGGCGGCGAATCTGTGATGAGTGAATTCGGTGAAAGCGAAAGTGATGACAGTAAACGATGATGAACTGATTGAATGAATGTGGTTAATGACTGATAGCCATATAATGAGAATATGAAAAGGAAACAGTAGTGGTGGTGGCTATGAAGGGGAGATTAAGGGGTGTGTGGCCGTCTGGAATGCTCTTCCTTCTGATATTAGGAAGCAACTGGAGCTTTGCACTTTTAAATCATCTAGATTTAAAACTAATTTCTTTAGAACTGCTTTCTGTGTTCAGTTTGTTGTCCTTCCCCTGCGCCTACGTTTAGCGCGGTTGGCTACGTATGGCGCGATAGAAGTTCAACGTACATCAAAACGAAAATCACACGACGCAACGCTTTTGCAGAACGAAATAAAAAAATACAAAATGCACAGGTGCAACTCTTAGTACACAGCAGAATTCATGTATATATATATACACCCAGGGCACCGAACGCAGATCACATCCAACCTCAAACCACAACCAGGCCATTGACTCAGACCTGTCAGGGACATTTTTTTTTGCGCAATATAGAGTGTTGGAAACTACCGCCCGTATTTTTCGTGTAAAAGACTGATATGAAGGAAACAAATCATTTGGCGATGCCACCGCCTCATTGGCAGTGGTGCACAAGGACAATTGACAACCAAACTTAACACAATCGCCAATAGCACTGCCTTAAAATACACACGTATATAATATGCACATATATATAATAGGTGACGTTGTTGGCAATGGTCCTTCTCCTGCTATGAAGAAAGGTCATTACCAGAATCATACCATTTCAGTTTCATTTATTTGGTATAGCCCTGTGAGCCATTCGGCTCTTGAATCGGGTGCAACAGCAACAAACAAAAAACATGAACGAGAAAAACATCTTAAAGTGACTATGTGACTGTGCAAACAGAAAATCCAAGAAAAAAACAGCAACACATTCCTGTGCTCGGACGAAGGCCCATCGCCCGAGACACCACCTGTGATATATTTAACATTTTACGGCCAAAGCGTTATTGATTAATGTATATAATGCTTCAATATTCGTGAAAGTTCACCAGTCAAGGAAGGGTGACAGCCACAGTTTGTGTCCGAGAGGCAGGCAGCACGCTCGTACCTGTAGACCGTGTCCAACCCAATTAATAAAATATGTGAACAAGAGAAAGGATGAAGCAGTGACGGAGGTGGTTTTGACGGTGATTGATGACGATCATTTGCCAGAATGAAGAACGTGATTTCATGATGGAACACGATACCCTCTCATAAGCTGTCTGCCCACGTTTGCTTCAGAACGATCAATGCAACTTCCTCCCGCTGCTGCTACGGGTGTCGCTTCCTTGATGCGCACCTCTTTTCAATAGTCAGAGGCTCTTTTTTAAGCTTGCTTTTGTGAGTTAAACTGCAGCTCTCTGACCCATACAGCTGCGCCAAGCGCCACTCCTGCCGCGTCGCCAACAATCGCAGGGCCGTACTGCTCTCCTCCTCTTATCAAAAGCCCGTGGATGTGGCGTACGCACCATGCAGCTGGCAAAGCCGATTCCGCCGAGCTTGGAGTTGATGTAGCTCCACACCCCCACGCTGCCGCGGCGGATCAACTGCCCGGCGGCCAGCTCCAGGAAGAAGAGCGGAATGCCCAACACGAACAGCAGGATCACGTACGGGACCAGGTACGCGCCTGTCGCGGGGAGAGGGAGCGGTCGAGGTGTCGGGAGTGGGGTCCGGGAAAGGTGTGCGAGCGTTAGGTGCGGAGGTTAGGGGCAACAGGGGTGAGCTGCCATCATGATCATTGTTTCGGCAACAACAACAACAACAAAAAGTTAGAGTAAGTTCCGTGCTCACCTCCTGTTTTACAACCCCGAGCCCGTGCTCATTCCTAGAGCAAGGGCGAGTCTGTCCACAGGGCTACGACCGTTGGCTGGTGGAAGGGTCTCTACTCGAGGGAGCTCTAGAGAGAGCCCCTCTAGAGGATATTTGGCCTACTCTTCCACGCAGGCCAGACGCCTTGAAAGAGGTGGAATTAACTCACCCATTATAATGAAGTTAAACGTGTGAATGACAAAAATAAGTATTTCCAAAAGTATGGATAAACTCTATCACGTGGCCACCAGAGCGGTGTGGAAATAAGTACGGACGGCTCTTAAAATTCTGCCGTTTTTTTATAGCACGTGGTTGAAGGTATAAATATGCGGACTTAACAATAAAAAAATTGTGACTAATTTGTGGCTGTCATCTTAGACATCTTTTTATCGACCCTATAGAGGGATGATGGGGCTGAGTCAAACCGCCAACCAGGAATTGAACTCGCAACCTTCCGTTTGCCAGCCGTCGTTCTACCGATGAGACACTTGGCCGGTTCATAATATTTTTTAAACTTTGGTTTAATGTGGGGAAACTCATCGGTGATTTGAGCTAGGCTCTCCAGTGCAGCAAGCCGACGATCTTAGGCCCATCACCAATGACTGCACAAATGACGCCCGACGTAAAAAGGTGGGTTACAAAATAATTCAAGATGAAACACAGCCAGGACGATTAAATTAATACATGGGATGAAAGGCAATGACAAACAACTCTTTGGAAAGTATGGAGGAGCATTGTCTCGTGGATAATATGGACCCGAAGCAGTGACACTTTATATTAAAATACTGCAGTTGTGTAGTGCCATTTCCTAGGGCAGCGATGTACGAACTTTTTGGATTGAGAGGCGAACTGACTAACATACCGGGAACCACAGGCCACAAACGTATAATAAACAAACATGGAGATTGGAGAGAAATTAATTTCAGGAGAGCGATTTGACAGCTCGAATTGAGCGGAGAAATACGAGATAGAGATGTATTCTGAAGAGAGATGTACGAGATTAATATATGTATTCAGAGTAGCAATACTGCAGGCAGGATATGTATTCAGAAGACAGATATAAGATTGAGATTCAAGATAGATAGGAGACATTCAGAAGAAAATCACCGTATGCGCTAGAAATAGGAGATGCACTCAGAAGAAATATAGAAGAGAGATAGGAGAACGTCGTAATCTGAGAGGCTTAAGCGAGAGGAGGGAGATGTACAACAATAAAAGTGTGCGGTTATCGAGTCCTTAATTCATGCAGTGCTGCATATACTTCACTCCCCGGACACACAGCCCCTCTCCTCCCGGTCATTACAGGGCCTGTATCCTGGCCAACATCTTCATTTCACACAAGGCATGTGATTTAATCAGGTTTATTTTTGGTTTAATAACTTAATTTGAAATCCACGGTGACCTGTTTTTATTTTTAAGTGAGCGATGCCACGGGATGGATGAGATGGAGCTCACAAGCTGCATTGAGCCTGCAGAGCGAGGGTTGGACCGCCTTGTCCTGGTGCTGCCATTGCTTGACGTGATGACCTCACGTTCCAATGACTCAAGAAGTCCCAGCAGAGACACCCCGCACATTACGATATGACTCACGATTTAGCTGGAAATAACAAAAACAATTACAATGTGTGCATTGCGATAGTGAAAATGTGTATGACCGCAGACATCTACTCTGTGTACGCGCATTTTGCTCGCGTGTTTACGTGAATGGAATGCCCTTTGGGGTCAACGTATACCAAATGGAGTGGGATTGCGTGGATTTTCAACTGGCGTTTTTTTTTTTGACTCCGTGAAGCCGTGAACCCCGATTAACAACGTAATGTGGTCGCAGCTCTGCTATGCCACTTCACGTCCGTCACATCACTGGACTAAGTTTGTGTTCGTATAATTATTAGCATCATCGGCAGCAGGAGCAGCATTGATATCTCTCCACTGCTGTATGACGGGCTCTCCAAAACCTGGCCAAATCTCGTGGTCCCGTGAAGCCCCAATCCATCTCATTCCTGCTCACCCTTGCGCCGCCACTCCCCCACGTCTAAAGTATCAGTGATCAACCAACAAATCAACGTGGCATGTGACGTCATCTGCGTGGGAATAAAAAGGCTTGACCTTTTAATATTAATTTAGCACCCAATCTTGGACCAATCCGCTATCAATGTGCCCGGTTGTAAATAGGTTAAATCCGATGAAGAAACACAACTTGACGAATAACATATCGTCCATAACGGATCACTTTTTCGAATGTTGTCGTGACTTCCCCGTTACAGACGGACGGACGGACGCACTCACGCATGCACGGACAGACGGACAGACGGACGGACAGACAGACGGACGGACGGACAGAGCCAACCCTTCAACGCTGCTTTCGGCCGCAGGTTTGGAAGGCTTCTTGAAAAAGTGTCGCACGTACCTCCCCCGTTCTTTTGGCAGAGGTAGGGGAACCTCCACACGTTCCCGAGGCCGACGGAGAAGCCCACCTGGGCCAGGATGTACTGCAGCTTGCTTCCCCATGCGGGCCGCTCATCCTCGTCGTCGTCCGCGTAGTCGGCGGCGGCGGCCGCGGCGGCCGCGGCGGCGCCGGCCGCCGCCCCTTTGCCGAGGGGGCGGCCCTCCGCGATCGATGGGCTCTTAACGTCGGGCCGCTCGGCATGCCCGAGCAGGTCGGTCACCGACTCGGTAACGTCCGCATCCCTGAGGACCACCTTGCTGTTTTTCCGCATGGGTGCCGCGCGCTTGCCCACCGCTCCGCAGCAGCGTTGCTTTAACCCCTCTGGGATTCGAATCGCCCGGAGGATCAACGGCGCCAAGGTTGACGAGCCCGAGGTTGAGTTGAAGCCGGGTCTCTGAGTGTGCCACGTTGAGATGCCCAGAGTCGAGAGTGCAGGACGTGAGAGGTTGCAGCACGTTTAGAGGAGCCGGATGACGAGTTCGCCGGTCGTGATGCCAGAGTCGGGATTCTTCGGTGCGAATCCCAATGTTGACAGCAGGAACCCTCAGACGAGCGAGCTGAGAGCCCAGGATCGAAGGCCAGCAGATGCGTCCTCAAGGCTGAGAGTCCAGAGCTCAGTTGAAGCGAATAGCCCGGAGTTCAGAGCGATTGAACTGAACAGCAGCCTCGGGTCTTTGTCGGGCTTCAGTGGAGACCTCCGAAATGTGTTGGCTGCGGCTGTGTTGAGACAAGACATTAAAATCAAGGTTAAAATAATAATCGCCCATTGTAGTCATATTAAGGGCAGGCTTTTGCTTTGAGATGTGGTATCAAGAATGCATGTTGGCGTTTTGGGTTTAGATGTGCACATTAATACTTTCATAATGCATCGATTCACTTAGTAAATTACTACTTAAACTGGACATGGGATATATCCAGATCAATACGGATCCGGGGCTTCGGCAGGATTTTACAAATCCGAATCTAAAGCCCTGAAAGCACCAGCTATGAGTGGATCACGGGGCACACACTCCTTGTGCACCGTGAGGCGAAATTAACATATATATGTCATCTATTGGAGAGAACACATCGTTCTTGCATAATATATATATACTTTAAAGAGAACAAAGCAACATTGCGCTTCTCAAAACACTTTACAATGATAGATTACAACTCATAAATGTATTTGTTTTGTTAAATAATAAAAAAAATATCAAGCCCTTTGTCAACACACTGCTGGATGAGGTTGTCCCCTGGCCAGTAATCGGGTTGTCTGGCCATACTTCACCACGCTGACAATGCGTGTTGGTTTAGGCGGAGGCCACTGGCCGCTCACGTCAGTCACGGCCAGGGATTTAACTCACGTCGTTGCATTTGTAGCGCAGTGATCCAACCACCGCGCGACTACCGTCCCCCACACACGTTGCTGAAATACCATTGCATACTGCACAAAAATCACGGAGCGCGAATTAGCATTTGATTGGTTAAAACACGACGTATCTATCTTGATTTGAAGCTTTCGTGACTGCAGGGATCTACACTCTTGTGTTGCGCTTGTGTTGCGCCCGAAACGTCGTGATTTATTTTATTTTATAACGACGTATCTCTTTGTACGAAAAAGCTCTGTTTCAATTCACGCGGCATTTTGTCAATTTGAGCAGTGTCAGAGTGACCTGAATTCAGAGCCAATGCCTCCGGCTCAAGCATTATACTTTTAACCGGCAGATGGTGGTAATCACAAAGATATACAACCGTGCCTTGGTTAACTAAATAAAATAATAATTCTCAGCCCTCTGTCAACCCTTGAAGAATGAAGGCCTCGCCATGCCGTGTCAGTCGAAGGACAGCGTTATTCGAAAGTGAACATGCGCGATATGTAACATTAAAATAACCATGAGTGCACAATCAAGCCATAAAATAAAATGTAGTTACTGAAATAGTTTTCTTGTTGCAATTAAATTCTAACTATTATCGTCAAGTAAATTATAATGAAGCAAAAGGTAAAAAGTGCAGTCCTGGAGCTGCTCGGTCACACCACTGCTGGTGGAAGGATCTCGACTCGAGGGAGCTCTTGAGAGCCCCTCTAGACGATATTTGGCCTACTCTTCCACGCAAGCCAGACGTCTTGGAAGAGGTGGAATTATCTCACGCATTCTAATCAAGTTACATGTGTGAATGACAAAAAAAGTATTTCCAAAAGTATTGCTAAACTCTGCCACGTGGCCACCAGAGCGGTGTGTAAATAAGTACAGAAGGCTCTTAACTGTCTGCCGTGGTTTTTATAGCACGTGGTTGAAGGTAAAAATATGCGGACTCAACAATAAAAATAATTGTAACTAATTTGTGACTGTTATCTTAGACATCTACAACCATTGGTGGTGTCAGACACCCACAGTGGAAGCGTACTTAGGTTGCAGCATGGCAGCCTCTTGAGCCAAAGCCTCCTGGACATCTATGAAAAAAGATCTTCATAGCTCATCGGATTCCTCCAGTCCATATAAAGATTCTGATAATGACAGAATCTACGGTCCTTGCCTATAAACGTCTCGCAGTTCAACAGCACCGGATCAATACGCAAGCCTGCACGCCTCTGCTGCTGTGGTACTGAATGTCTAAACCCGGTTCAGCGTGTACTATTTGTACTATTTAAACCAATAATGCTGCTGGAACAAACGAAACAAATGTCTCAGAGAAAGACCCGAACGGCTGGTGGGGCGTGTATAAACTTACATTTGAATTGTTATTTATTCAGGCGGACGGACAGACGTCGCAAAGAGGCGTGATAATAATCCGCGTGTTTTTTTTGTTTTTTTTTGCTCAGCAGCCACAGGCAGCGAGCAGTCAGCACCAAGGACAGCGCAAAAAAAAAACAAATCGTGACGTCCACAAGGCACGAGGCAGCTTCTGACGTCCGATGGACGCCGCCCTCCTCGAGCGCATAAATAATTCACGGCAGAGCGCGCACGCACAACATCACGTGTCGCGGACGCCGCAGTGAAACAAATAAAAAAAACCCCGTCAAGTGTTTAACGTGGAAATGTACGAGCTTGCCCGAGGGTGCGTACTCCGCAACGATTGAGTCGGCTTACGTGCAGCAGCAATAGACGGAGTGTTGCTACCGTAGGACCGCCAAGAGACGGCGACGGCTTGGGGATGACTTCATCCAGCAGTGGATTGACCAAGGTTGTTGATGATGATAGGCATACAGTGGTTAATGCAGTACGTATCAGTACTTTTGGGTGTGGTAGCACACGCCTGCGATCTAGTGCTATGGAGTAACTGGTTTGCGGCTCACTGCGTTCTCATTTGACCAGGGAATGGCAGTACAGCAAAAAGGATGTATTAATCCATGGGCAAGAGCAGAAAACTCGTGTGTGTGTGTATATATACTCTATATAGTATGGCCACTATGGTCAAATAACTCTTACGACCCATACGGCATGGGGAGGCCCTCATCCAGCAGTGGATTGACATAGGGCTGCACTAATACGACTATCCACTGAGGTTGCAAATATCTGAACCAGTCCTGGGTGTTCCCTAGGTTGACTCAGCGGTAAATGAGTACCTCGTGTGGTTGTGTAAACATCACCCATCAGGAGACAAAAGAGGTCGGGCGTAGTGCTGCTCACACCGCTGCCTCGTGTGCCGTGCCGGCCTTCATAGGTGCTCGCTAACAGCACTTTCCCCAACATCCTAAAAAAAAAGCTATCTTTGCCATATATAGCACACACGCCATTAGCCAGAACCTGCGCTCTTTTTGACCTTGGTTGTCTCCTTATCGCTCACCACCCCCCGCCTCCTCCCCTCTCTGTTTGCTCCACTCGAGCTTTCTTTTCCCCCGACCCTCTCCCGATTCCCTTGATCGATGCCGGGTGTTCTACGTCTCCCTTGCCATCTAGACGGTCTCACCGATCGCCGAACTTATCAGCCAGAATACATCGCACATTATAGCCACGCACGAGCTCACAACACCAACGTTTCTCTCCCGAAAGCCCGTTCACTCAACTGACCTGCAACTACAGCGTGACAGCGATACGCTTGTCTCATGCTGAATTCTCTCTGATCTCAAACCCGTTAAGCCCCTTCCCCGGATACCAACCAGTGGCACCGCGAGGCATAAACAAAACTGAACAATAGCCGAGGTCCCCAAGAAACTCAAGGGACCCCATATTCATGAATAAATAGATGCGTGACAAACAGCTGCTGAAACGTAAATCCAAAGTAACTTCAAAAAACGATTGATCGCTCTCATGTCCACATATCCAGCATCTCCTGTCTCTAATATCACTGTCTCTATTTTTGTCTAAGTTTCTCATATCTGACGACATCTATACCCCTTGCCTATATCGCCTGTCGTCTCACTTCGGAGTTTACAAATTGAAAGGGGGCCCCACCAGCAACGTAATTTCTGCTTCGGGTCCCCAGTGGGTGAGCACCACCGCTTGCTGCTTCCTCTATCAGCGCGATCGCTCGGCTGGCGGTGGTTTGGGACAAACCCCTCTACGCTTCTTCCACCTCCCAGCCCAACATAGCTGGCTTTTTTTTTGCCTTTCGCTGGGCTCTCTTGACGACGACCAGCAGAACCTGGAATAAAACCATCCTACCACGGCCACCATAAATAAAAAAAACTTCACAACATATCACAAGTAACCAAGCAGACCCACATTATCGCAGGAGACACAAGTTCATATGTTGTACGATCCAGGCCTTCGTTTCAGCCGGAGCTTTCTGGGGGATTGGGATTTGGAGGTTGTGGTGGGAGGCGTTGGGGGGGGGGGGGCTGGAAAATATTCCATGAGAAAATAAGCCCTGCCACGGCCAATGTTGATAAACTGCATCTCGTGCAGACAATTTCTTGCCTGCCACGTGTATTGGCGAAACCCGTCTCGAAGGCTGACAGACAGATTCAGGGAACACCACCCTCACCGTAACAGTCGGTGAGCATTTCACATCCAAAGGGCACACTGCCCTATACACTGACGTGGCCACACGTTCATCAGGGATCCGATTTCACCAGTCCATTCTCTTGCAACCAGGCGGATAAGAGACTTGTACTGAGTCTCGGAAACCAACACGCAGTGTCAACCTTGGTTTCCCCAAACTTTCTGTTCAGATGTATGTATGTTGAACTTCTGTCGCACCGTACCTAGCCAACCGTGTGCAGACAAGCACATGCAAGCCGAGTGCACATCCCCCAGTCAATGCGTGCGTATGTGTTGCGCCATAATAAGGCGCTGTAGGCAGCTGACCTGCCGCCACGCTCACGGGCCGACAGGGGGCAGCCGAGAGAGAGCGAGGTGGGTAGGGGTTGACCGAAGGTCAAACCCCCGCCCCTCCGTGGCCGGAGGTTGACAACCCAGACCCCCCAGGGGCTGAGGGCTGAGGGGGGTGATGGCCCCCCTCCACTTCCTAAAACCCCTTAAGAATTAAGACCTTCCAGAAGGTTCCGGAGGGGGGGGGTCATTAGGGGAGGGGTGACCCCGACCTGGGGATAAAAGGGCAGCCCTCGGGACGGTCGTGGCAGTACTCACCAACTCAAGCTCAAAGACATCTGAAGATATAGGAATAGGTTTTACCCTTTTAACTGGCACAAAAACTGACACCTTTATTCAAGGCATCGTGTTTGCAACAAAAAAAACATCTGAAGATCTGAAGACTGGACCAGCGACCCGGGGACCCTCAACCGTGGCTCTCGCTAAGCCGGGGTTGAAGCGGTCCAGGGCGAGTCCCGTACCCTGGGTGGGGCGGTCGGTCCAGCCTTCCCCTAGCCGCCGTCGCAAGGGACCGGCGTGTGCGTATCCCGGAGTGGGTAGAGCACGCTAGAAGGGAGGCTGTCTCTCCCCTAGATTATCGAGTGGAAGGAGTCGTACCTCTCCGTGTTAACAGAATAGTGGTTAACAGAGTAGCGTTAACAGAGTGTTAATAGTTGTTTAACAAACGCGTTGCCTCCAGCAGACGTCTCCGTGTATAAACACACACGCCGCGGGTTATACGTGTGATTTCTTGTTGATTGAATTACCTGATCATGTTTTTTTTACACACAGGGCATTTTATATTAATATATATACAGTATAGTTTATGTTGACATTCTCACAGCCTTCTGTTTCCTCTCTCCTAAAGGTCTCTTTTCAAAATTCACCGTGCTGGTCACGACAACGGGTCTCGTTAATCCGGTCACATTCAGACAACTGTCGTACCCCCCCCACTCCCCCGCCCCCTGTTGAGCCTTTTCACACACTCGGAATACTCACTACGCTATAGTGAAAAAAGACAAACGTTGCCTATTTGGGACACATTAACCATCTTCAAGCGCTGATGACTCTTTGCACCTCGGCGAAGCCATCATCTGGCATAACCCACCGCCCAACCCCACCGACGCTCTCCATTACATTTAAGATTCTCCCTTTAATCCTCCCGTTAAACCGCTGACAGTAAAATAAATGTCATTGTTCTATTAATATGTTGTTGTATGTCTCTCCGTGTATGTCTATCTCTCTCTCTCTGTGTCCTTTGTGTCCCTGTCAATGTCCTCCTGTCCATCTCTTGGTGTCTTTGTCAATATCCTCCTCTGTCTTTTCCACTGTCCCTATCTCCGCTTTTGTGTCTTACACTCCATATTCTTGTCTGTCTCTTTCCATGTCTCTGCCTGTCCCTTTGTCTCTCCGTGTCTGTTTCTCCCTCTCCGTGCCTCAATCTGTGGATGCCCGCTGTTTGTCTCTCCATGGATCTCCATGTGACTCGGCAACCCCTCTGTGTCTCCCTGTGTCTCTCAGTACGTCTGGCCCTGTCCATGCTGTCTACAGTATCTCAATCTCTCCACGTTCTTCTACTCACTGCCTTTCTCTCCCCTATATCTACGTCTGTATTTACCTGCGTTCCTCACTAAAAGTGTCCCTCCGTGTGTGTGTCTCTCTCTCTCCGCCTCTCTCTATGTCTCTGTCTCTCGTGATTCTCAGGTCTCTGTGGAAGTGTATAAGGCGCGGATAACCAAGTTGTGGCTTTCTAACAACACAAATTTAACACATATATTGCCAGCAGACAAGCTAACTCAAGTCGCTGTAGAAAGGCAACGTTGATCAAGACGAATGCACACCGACCGACTGATCGATTCTGAATGATCGGATAGACAGCATCGCGAAGATCAGACGACATCAAGATCAGTTAGAAATCCCATTCAGGTGGTGATTGACCCGTCAAGATGAGAAATCATTGTACAAGAGGCGCGTGCTTCTAATTAACTCCATAATAAAGACTTTTTTTTAATCACCGTTAGCAAAATTTAATTAAAACAGTCTCCGCTTGGGAATCAAACTGAGGACCTTGTAATTCAATTGGGGACATCTACACCGGCTGTCATGGCCTACATTTCACCTTGCAAGTGACGACCGTAAATGTTCACGGTCGTGTACAGCCCTTTTTGTAAATCTACTGCCGGATGAGGAGTGCCCGTCCACGCCGTGCAGGTCGCGGGGGTTATTTTGACCGTACCTCACCACGCCGGTCAGTGTGGGTTGTTGAAGGCGAGGAGCATCAACGACACAGCACAGGACAACAATTGATTTTGCTGCACTGTCATTTCCTAGCAACGTAGCCCTGCGGTAACCCGCAACACTTGCTGTCAGCTGGGTGGTCGCCCATCCAATCACTACCCAGGCTTAACCTCGCACAGCTTCTGAGCTCTGATGAGATCGGATATATTTTGGGTGATTTGGT